GGGGAGTCGAAAAAGTATTTTCGTATTTCTAATAAAATTTTAGCTTATTTTTTATTATTTATAATAATAAATAAATAAAGAAATATGTACGATTCTGCTCAACCACTTTTGCCATATTTCCGTTAGAGAGATTATTTCATCAGTGTAAATCGAAATTTCCAGAACGGAAGCGAGCGAACCGTAACTTCACAAATTTCATTGGTGTCTTGCGTGGCATTTTTCCGTTTTTTACACAAAAATTTTAAAATACAAGTATAGCGAATTTCTTCATTATTTTCACTAATTTTTGTACAGCTGTAACTTTTTAATTTTTTTTTTAAATGAAGGTTCAAAATCTCACCTTTCCAACACTATATGGTATGACACATTGTGAATGGTAGCACAGGAAATACTCGACTGCAAGGACATCTATTGACAAAATACTAAAAGATTTTTTCGACTACCCAATATATTTGATTTACTCCCTCAGTTTTTGAAATATCGATCTGAAACTTTGCATCAAGAATCTGATTATTATGTTATCTTGAGTTTGGTTTTTACAAGCAAGTTGAGATATCTTAATGAAACTTGGTATACAGGTTTCTTAGTGCACAAAAAAATTACTAGTTCGTAGATGGGAGTATCGGCCACTACCACGTCTGTAAATCGTCATTAACCGAAAACATATAAAGTACCATAACAAAATTTTTTTGAAAAAGTGGGCGTAGCCCAGCCCTCTAATAAGTTTAATGTACATATCTCCTTGCGCAAATATTATATGCTTAAAATTTTGTTAGTATGTGGTATGATAATATTTAATAGATAAAATCTATGCCAAAATGCCAAATTTTTCAGTCAGTAATATAGAATATATGTATGTATGTATGTATATATGAAATTGCGTAGATACTGATCCTCTGACGTTTTACATTGTAATGGTCTGTATCCAGCTCTCTAATAATTGCTCAAGAAAAAAAAAAACATTTCTTCAAGTATTTTTGACAGCTGGTTATGCATTTTGAATGATCCATATTAGAAGAGCAAGCGAGAATAAACAAAGAAAATAAATTTTGTGCGTAATTTGTATGTATGTATATATGTGTGTAGTAACATAAATACTTTCCTTGCGATTTAAGGAAAGTTACTTTGAATTTCCTTAAAAAAACAATTGTTGATTTCATGTTTCTTCGCAAAACTAGGTTTTGCCATATTCACATTTTATTAAAAAATTTATTAAAAATGAGTACTACAATTCTTTAGAGCTGCATACTAGCACAAGGAAATTTATCACAAGAAAATTTATCGCATCAAATTTTCTTGAGAGCTGGATACTAAGCTTAAGGTATTTCCCTTGGTTTCATTCTTACAAGTTGCAAGAGTATAAAATGTCCGGTTTCACCCGAGCTTAGCACTACTTTATCATCTAATCGGATTATCAATGTTTAAATAATAGTTCTTACGACGAAGAGTTGAAAAACTTCGATTAACCGTAAATATGCGCTTATAGTTTCAAACTGGTTCACCCTTACGAATAATGCAATTTCAGGCAATTTCTGCACTACTGTATGAAATTTGTTTTTTTTTTTGCATGTTTTATTTAGAGCAGCGGGTGGAAAACTTACACATTCAAACGATTTATTTTTTGAGAGTGTGTATATGTGCATATATGGGTACCCTGCCATCAATTTCAATATAATTACACATTTTTTCTTCAAGCACTAACACCAACGCATACGTTTGGGTTATGTTTTAAGTTAATTCATTTCATGATCTTATTGAATGCGTGTTAATAAAAAAAACATAATTATCATTAATGCCAAAAGGATATCCCAAAAAGTGTAATAAAAAAAAACACGATTGAAAGAGGCAAGTCATTCACGCTCGTAAAACAAAAACGTAAGTAGGATGAAATGTATCTTATTTTTTAACAACATTTTGTGAATATAAGCATACATTTGTTTTTATTTCCATATTGAATACAATGAACAAAAATATATTTAAATTATTTGTTACACAATAATGAAATTTATGAATATTTATTTATATTTTTTTTAGATAATGATCGATACAAGATTATGGTGACAGTTTTTTGGAAATGAAATAATCTTCTGTTTCAGATAATATTACTATTTCTATACTCTCGCAACAAGGTTGCTAAGGAGAGTATTATAGTTTTGTTCATATAACGGTTGGTTGTAAGTCCTAAAACTAAAAGAGTTAGATATAGGGTTATATATACCAAAGTGATCAGGGTGACGAGTAGAGTTGAAATCCGGATGTCTGTCTGTCCGTCNAATGGAAGAAATCGGATAATAACATAACCACGCCCACCTCCCATACAAAGGTTATGTTGAAAATCACTAAAAGTGCGTTAACCGACTAACAAAAAACGTYAGAAACACTAAATTTTACGGAAGAAATGGCCGAAGGAGCTGCACCCAGGCTTTTTTTAAAATTAAAAATGGGCGTGGCGTCGCCCACTTATGGACCAAAAACTACTCGACCAATTTCAATAAAATTCAGTATATAATATTTTCTTACCATGATGACATGTACGAAATGTGGGTGAAATCGGTTCACAACCATACCTAAAATCATATGTCAGGAAGTACTGGACCAATTTCAATGAAATTCGGTATATCATATTTTCTTATCATGATGACATCTACGAAATATGGGTGAAATCGGTTCACAACCACGGTTCTTCCAATATAACGCTATTTTGAATTCAATCTGATGCCTTCTCTGTATAATATATATGTACATTAGGAACCAATGATGATAGCGGAATAAAACTTTACACAAATACGGTATTTGAGCTGAGGTATCCCTTGTGGAGAAAAGGTCCCTTATATCGAACACAAAGAACTCAGTGCCTTGCCTAACCTAACCTAATTTTTCACCGAAAATATCAGTAAATCTCTCAGATATTTTCAAAAATATTTCAAATTAAGAATCGATTGAGATATAAAAGCCACTTACCGCTACTTTTTATATGACACTATTGAATGACAGCATCAGAGATGTATGATCACACGTCTGCACGGCGCCAATGGCAGGCTCACCAGTTTTTGAGGGTTTGAAAACTTAGTGTTTCACTAGTTTTTTCTCCACGTTTGGCTGGCAATGTCAATTGACCCTTTGGAAGGTTTTATGGTTCTTATATTTTTTAGTTCAAGTGTTATTAGGACCATCACTCTTTTCCTTTCAATTGTTTCTGTTTAAAAGTAGTATGTGGTACATTGTCTAAAGCTTATGTACCAGCTCACAACACAATTATTTATAATTTTACTGATATTGTTAAAAAATTATAACGAAAAATATGTATACTTATATATAAGAAATTCGTGTTAGTTACACTATTTAAATCTCAAGAACGGCTGAACCGATTGTGGGGAGTTAGCTTGAGACCAAGGGCGGACATATAATATTAGTATATTTTTATCTCTTTATGTTAAAAGTCAATACAATTCATAAATACCAAAATTATATTTCAAATCATAAGCATCTGTTCAAAATTCCTGTAGAATTATTTGAATATTTTATTGCTTTAAAAACAGAAATAAATAAGTCAAAAAAGAAATAACGCAGAGCTAATTTTCGTATGTATGCATACTTATATATGGGTTATAAAGATTGTTGCTCCTAAACAAGATAGTGTTTTTTTTTGTAGGTCGAACCCGTCAGATATTTTTAATATCACAACAAAAAGTGGCATTGACGATATCGTCGCATTGCTACTACTTTACTAGATTATGGGCGAATGGAATGGAATGGAAATTCAGTCATAATAAACTAAACGCGACACTAATATAAGAAATAGCGAATAACAGCAATAAAAAGGACTATTATTATTTGAGATATACAGAAATATTTTCGAAGCATTGCACAGAGTAGTACAATCAAGTATATGCGTACAATTACAAACTGATCCTTTCTCAAAAATAATACAATTGCAAATATTGCAAATACAAAATATTGGGAATGGTAGAATAGAATTGCAACCAAATACACAGTGCAATGGATCATAACTTGCTCATTAATCAGTCAATGAATATTATACCACGTGCATCCCAAAATACTGATGCCATAACCTTGGCAGCCGAGTTTTTTTTATCTTTGCACGCATGAGGACTGTTTCATAATGTACATGCCACTAGGCTGACTAAGTATTGGAATCCTCACCGTTGCAAAAAATATTATGTCTCATTAATTAACAGTTCTTTAGTTGTCAAATTTGTAGGGGCTGACTAGAAATCATATAGATGTTATAAGTGGTACCCACTATATATCAGCCACAGTAAAGCGTGGACGGTTCCTCTAGTATATAGTATATAAGCAATTGTGTTTTTTAATTATAAACAAGAATTGACATACTGAACAAATAACATATTAATTTAAATCTATATATTCAAAATAAAGTCGAGTTAGTTGCCCTATTTACAACACCAGGATGGCTGATCTAAGTTGGTTGAAAGCAAAAACGTATTAGTTAAGAATATTTTACTAAAAAAAAATTCTTAGATAATAATTGGTGTAGTGATCGGGTTACATTAGCGGCCAAAAGTGTGGACGTCGACGAAATTAATTTCTAGATACGACAGCTGTTGCCAGACGGTCTAATGCTTTTTAAATCAATTGCTAAGGTTGGCAATGAAAAAGAAAGTGTTGTATTTCCAATTGCATATATAAATTTTTTATATGTAAGAGGTTGCCATCACATAATCTTCTTGTTTAAATTGGTTTACATATTCCTATTGGCATAACTTAATTATAAATATTTTACTAAATTGGATAGTTAAGAATAATATAATTTAAGGTAGATATGTCTTAGCCACAGAAACCCGTCTTTGCAAATTCTAAGAGTAGAAAATGTTCGATTTCACCCGAACCTAGCCTTTCCTTACTTATTTGGATATAATGTTAAAAATGACATTAGTGTATGTATGTTTTGGACATCATTCACTTAGAGATTATTAATTTAATAATTTACTAATGCTAAAACTGTGAATTCTTTTAAGGTACCGTCTTTAAAAAAACAAACTGATATGTCTGAGCGACAAATTCAACGTTGGTGGCGATTGAGAAGAGCTGCAGATAGACCAACAACTATAGTGAAATTTTGTGAAAATACGTGGCGCTGCATATATTATTCATACAGCTTTATTTTTGGAATTATCGTCCTTTGGGATAAAGATTGGTTTTGGAATATAAAGCATTGTTGGTATGGTTATCCGCATCAGGTTTGTAAAATCTAAGTAACGTATATTTTACATAGTATTAAATGATTTTAGATTATATTATTTGTGGCTATTGAACTTAATATACATGGAAACGTAGGTAATACCTCATATTTTTCATCAGAATAGTAATTGGCCTCAAATTGATTAAAATTTGTTCACGAATTTGTAAAATGAAATAATACGAAATGGACAAAATATGGTTGAATGAATATTGAAATTTGGATTAATTTACAAATTTTCGTGAAATTAAGAAGGCCCGCTATAGGCATTTGCTCACACAATCTTTTATTAGAAAAATTGTACATGTTCAATGTTATTGTACCAGTTGTTACGCTCAGTGCCTTCTCTTAAGTTGCGTTTCACTTGTTCACAGTCATTCGCTCTAATTAATGCATGTTTTAAAATTATATGCGATTGATTATTTAGTGCGGTATTGTGCACACTACACAACAAACTGAGCAAGGTTTTTTTGCTTTGCCAATGGCTCAAGTTTTCTTATTGGTTTGTGGCAATTTGTAGTAAAATTAATATGGAAAGCAAGCGTAAATCAATAAATTCTATCAAATTAAATGCATTTATAGGTCTCTTATAGATGGCTGGGTTAAAGAGAATGAACCATACAAATCTCCTGGCTTTAACGTAACTGCTTCATATATTTTCAAAGCCATATTAAACCGATATTTGTATTTTATTCATGTAACTAGATTCGATGGCACGTTCACTTAGAAGTGAAGTTATAATGCCTTTGCCGCTTTTCGTGAAATATTTGATGACTTCTAAAAATCTTGTGAATGTTATACTTCTGGAGAGTATTTGCAATATTGATATATATTCCCAGTAAACCTGACAAGTACGGCAGAAACAGCGATTTCCGATAAACCGCAGCCCGAATCAGCTGATACGATCTATCTTATGAGAGCACAACGTAAATGATCAGCCAACACCGATTCTACCGCCCGATTTACCGTAGAATTTTTCACAATTTGAATTTTTTCGTAGAAACGTGTCAGCTGATTACTCTCTCACAACGCAGGGTTGCCAGTATCGATTTACTGTAGTAATTATAAAAATTGTCTTCAATATGCTTGAACTTTTCTTAAACTCACTCAAAATCAGAGTCAAATGCTATTACTTATAAATATATATAAACTAATTTTAATAGTTTGTTTTCTGTTTTGATGTTTCATATTATGAAAAATTGTAATTGACAACATTGTTCAAATGAAAACAAACAAAGATGGCTGATTTCTACGGGACTAATTTTGCTCGCTACGGTCAGCAACTGAAGGAAGGAGCGGATTTCGCTGTTTCTGCTATAAGTGTAACACCGTTAGATTATATAAGAAGACCATTACTAGAATTTTAGTAGGTACCTCAGTTATTATCATCTGGGTACCCGGTCATATAGGAATAAAAGGAAATGAAAGAGCAGATGAGTATATTTCGATTCATAACATGTGGGGGTTCATATTTCATTGGTAACCCCATGAACTAGCTCTACACTCATTATTTTTTCTAGCTATTCTTTGCTAATTAAAAATTAAATTACTTATAATTAAGGGACTAAAATCAAACCTGGACAGCAATTGTTTATGAAATACATATATTCTCAAAATTAGTTAATTAAACCATCCAAAGCCGATCTAAAGTAACAACACGGTTTTCTTGTTCCATTGAATATAGAATGCGCTCCTATGTTTTGAATCATTATTTTCTTGTAGTATCCAATCCAACTATTTTGGAGTGCTTTAGAGTTGACTCATCTGTAATTATATCATTACTCTAATAACGGTGGATGTTTCTCTGCGCCCAACGCAAATTTTTAAACGTGTGATTTTGAATTTAGTACCTATGAGTTTGATGCCAGATCTCTTAATTTGTCCCGTTTATGTTTAGATACTTCTAATCCTTTTTTAAAACAAAATTGTTTAACTTCTCTTACTGCGCAGTGATTTCTTCTCAAAAAGAAGAAGAATAGCTTTGCGTTCACATTTAGATGTCACACGATTCCTCCCTCTTCTTGTCCCGCTTTTTTCATAGTGGTCAGACCATTTATTGACAAACGTACAATTCGTACTTAAATACTATGCATGTTTTTTAATAGTCTGCTTAAAGACGTTATGCTGGCTATAATTTCCTCTTTAGAAAATATCAAAAATCCAAATTTTTTTTAGGTACATCCGTCTACGGTATTATTCATTGTGCCAAAAAGGCACCCGGAAATCGTAATTCAATTCCCCGGGTAAATGATATTTCAAAAAATGTATTTTTTAAGTTGGTAGGACTGTCCTTAATTACTATGCCTAATATAAGCGCGATCTGTCAAGCCGATTGTTTACAGAATCTGCTTAAGTGGGTGCACCTCAGTGGTGCGTTGCGATTTTTACAATGGATAAAAAAAACGGGCGAGAGATTTATTAAGACGTGAAAATATTGAAAAAAAAGAAGGATATGTGCTTGAAATTCGTCACCATATGACCAGAGAGCTTAACATCTCTCGCGAGTCCGTTTGAGTGATTTTGCTGGATATTTTAAGTATGTATGAAACGAGGCCGATAAAGCTGAAAAACCATTCCAAAAAGTGCTTCTTAAAAGTATTTCAAGGACTGAAAAAATCGTTGGCATCAGTGTATTACATCTGGAGGACATTACTTTGAGACGACCAAATAAATATTGATGAATTATTAATTTTTGCTTTTTATATACAATTTTCGAGTTCTTTTTTATCATAATGTATTATTCGATGCAGTAATAAATGCTGCCAAAAAATCAAATAGTATAAAAATCTTAGTTTTATAGAAGTTTTTACCAATATGTCGAATACATACATAGTTAATTAAGTTCATTATATTTACATCTCTAAACGATTTGAACAATGGATATTTTTTTTTTATTTTATTTTATTAAAGCTTACATAATAAACAAATTATTAAATAAACTAAAGTACGCAGCGCTAGCATCAAAGGCTTTCGCCTGACAATGGATATTAAAATTATGATATTATCGTACTTATGTATATTTTAATGTTGCCAAGTTTTCTTGTTCATTATATTCGAATTCATGACCTAAGCAATGTACCAATCACTTACTAGAAATTTTTTTTTAATTTAATTATATTAATTAGCCTGGAAAGTAGAAGATATTACGAAAGTCCACTCCATACAAAAATAGAAAAAATATATGTAGAGCGGATAATTTTCTAGCTCCGATGAAGCCATTTGCGAATAGCATTAAGGCCTGAATCTTGTACGTGCAGGGTTTTTATGGAAATAAAAATAACTCGTATTCGATAACATCGAATTTCATCAAAATAAGTCCAAAAAGCTTAATCATGGACTTAGTGGGTCGAAATATCCGGAAATAATACTAGAAATCGAGTGGGGAGCATAGGAACATTAATAGCAAAAAAATTGTAGGCCAAAAAACTGATAAAACTATTGTAATTACTTTTGAATTATATGGATAATCATCAGTGTACGTAAACTTTTTTGATATAAATTATGACAGTTTTAGGCTTTAGCACTAATTTTTTTTTTTTTATTTGTTTGTTAAAAAAAAATTGTATGTGCTATGTTTAATGCTAAATATATGTAAATATCTTGAAATGGATTGAAAAAAACCACAAAATTTATTCATTTTAAAACAAATAAACGTGCCGTAATTTACTAGAACTAGGGTGTATAAATTTTATTGGTCCACTGTACATCCAAATCAATTTTATTACAGCATTATTATAGAAGAACTTTGTTGTCCAGACTAAGGTCAGAATTTTTATATAAAAGTCAGTTTAAATTTGTAGCTCATCTAGTGTCCTAGACGCACTAACAATCTCGCGAATCATTTAAATAAGAAAGCTGTATCAAACAAGTGGTTATATAATAGAAGTTATAATATTTTTTTTCATAAATACTCGTAACTAATCGCTTGGTTGAAATAGATTGATGTTCGGATTGGTTGATGAATTGCATGGCGTGCAGGATCGTTGTCGTTATCAAATGTATAAGCAACTGTTTATAAAACGAATGTGTTGAAACTGTTCAGGGGACCATCCATTATGTTGAGTGGGTTGATATACAAGTGTGGGGAGTTGTGGTGTCGTCGACTATGGTGTTTTCCAATGTGCAGGGTTTGTTAGGGTGCGTCCTTTTGGTATCGGGTAAAGTTGAAAGGGACTTAGCACATTTGAACAAATAGAACATTTATTTCGACATATTAGGTGTCATCCGCAAAAATGGACGTTCATAAATTATTATCTGTTGAAATATCTGATGTATATAAGATATATGAAGTTGGACGTAGCATAAGTCTTGAGGCACACCAGAAAAACCAGAGATTCGCACGACCACAACCAAACGCTCTCACAAAATGGCATTGTGTTAGTGCGTTTACAGTGTGGCCAAGCGAATCACCGGATCTATGCCGGACTGCACGTGTACATGAATGTATAAAAATTAATATTAATTCAGGTTTAGTGGAAATTAGGCAATAGTTGGACAATTTAGCATTTAAAAATATGGACATCAGTCCGTACTAACCCGTTCAGTCAACTGCTGATTTCAGACTGAGGAATGGTGCCAAGTTGACAGGTCTTGGCGAATAATAATCCTGGTCCGTTCCGTTTACTTAGACGCGACATCGTAGGATAAGCCCTTCCATGATCAAATGCCAAACAATACTGAACAAAAATAACATGACTCACGCACGATCTGTCAAAAAAGGTTATTGAAAAAAGTACATCAACTTGGATCACCCGTTACGATAAACTACGTTCCTTTACCACATACAAATGTTCCCTATCCTTTAACATAAATTTGGAAAATAGCCGAAACTAAAAGTTGCATTAAAAACAGTTTGGCTGAAATACCATTACCAGATGGTTTGCAAAACAAATTGCCTTTTCCTCTTCGCTTTGATCCAAATTTGTTATCCCTCACGTCCCTTATAGCCATTTCGGAATCACCACCGGTGTTTGCGCTTTCCAAAGAGAGTTATGTGTGTGTTGAATTTGTTTCAATTACTGTATATAATTTTTATATGCTCGTTATATGTTGCTACAAAGTATACTAGTTTTGCTAAGGGTTGTTTATATCACCTAAAACTAATCTAAATAGTTATATATCTATAAATGATCTAAATGATCTGAATGGTGACGTGCAAGGGATCTGATGAAACATTCTGATTTTACACATATTCCTTGGCCCCATGGAAGTTCGGTATTGCAGATAGATTTTATCGATCCACTACCACGCCCACAAAATGCCTTTAAACGAAGACCTATAAAGTCGAAGAGTTATTTAAAACTCACCGCTTAAATAGAATAAGTCTTATCTTGTAAGCGAAAAGTAAAAAACAAAATTTTTGACATATTTTCGTACTAAAACGAATTTCACTATTACATCATATGTATATACATATCCGACCCTTCCTTCAAAATGTTTTTTTTTTTTTTTCAGTCAGAAAATAAGCAATGACTGTTCTTTTCTGGACTTGATTTTAACCAACTCGTTTTAGCACATATATTAACAGTTATAGGCGATCTGTCTATATTTTAGGTGAAATAGTATGTTTATTAACATTACATTTTCAACAAAATATTTTTTAGTCTATTTCTAGTGATATATGGTGGTATTATATGATATCTATGGCTTTTTATTGGTCCCTTACCGTAACACAGTTTATTGACGTTAAACGGAAAGATTTTTGGCAAATGTTTGTCCACCATATGGTCACACTACTACTAATGGCATTGAGCTGGGTCTGTAATTTACACCGCGTCGGTTCCTTAGTTCTTGTCGTACATGACTGTGCCGACATATTTTTAGAGGTAAGTTAAAATTTATTTAAAAATTTTTTTTAAATTATTTCCAGAATCAAGCAAAGTCATACATATGTATGTATGGCTCGGTGCAAATATTGAGGATATTGCAAGTACCGAGTATTTTTTTTCGTATAATGAATCTTACATATATGTTTTTTTTTATATATTTTTTATTTTTGGATTTCAATTCAAAAATCCTTAAGTTAAATACATATGTTAGTATATATTACTATATACAAAAATATAAATAGATATACATGCATACATACATATGTATGTATATGTATATTATGTGGAATTAAACAAATTTGAAATTTTTAATTGTTTCGCTTGTTCAGTACTAAGTTGTTTCTGAGCCTCTGAAGCGTCATAACCATTCTAGACAAATGATATTGTCTTCGCCAACTTTCTTCGTATTGAGGATCACGTTGTTTGTTTCTTCGCCTTCAGTAAAGTTATCGTCATCGGCACAGTAAACTTCATTTTATAAGAAAGACTCCAAAGTAGGTTCAACAGTCCATTGCTCAATTTCATAATTGAATATTTTCAGTAATGGTTTTACTTCTTGAAGCAAGCTTTAAATGGAGTGAAAGAGGAATGTCATCTTCATTATCCCATTCGGTAAACTATTTTTGGAAAGATGGTCGAATTGAAGACACATTAACGGCATTCCATGCATTAGATTAAAAACATTTGCGTCTTTCAAGCTGTTGCTTCATCTACTGATTTTCCTCGTCGAACGATGTGACCTAAAAGGCTTGTTTTGTAGTTAATTTTCGAAAGCCTTATGACATTCTGGTCCCTGGTCCTGTATAACAGCAGTACCATTCGGAGGAAAACACGTTACAAATATTTGACCATCAATACTCTTTAACTCTCTTTCTTTGGGGTGACAGGGAGCATTATCTCTAAGTACAATAGCCCTTTCGGGAAAATTTCCCAAAGGAGAAACTCTTTTTAATGCAGTTTTAAGAAATTTTAAATTTATAAGATATATTTTTTAAAACAAAACATCTACATATCTCTGGAACAAATGTTTTGTGAAACCATTCTTCAAATAAAGCCAAGGTCGTCCAAGACGATTTTTTATTTTCTTTGTTCATAACAGGCAAATCCGCAAAATTTTTTAGTTAGCGTGGATTCAATAATTTCCCAATATCAAGGAATTTTACTCTATGATTACCAGGCGCATTCGACATTGTATATCTGCTCTTTGTTGAAAAATAAATCAGTAATTGTTTTCTTCAAGTTTTGAAAAAAAAGTGTTAACTGAACGAGTATTATTCAGAGTTTTTTGCAACCTATTTTCAGTGTTCGTATTCTATATCTGTTTTTAAAATTTGTGATTCACCCATTACTAGCACGAAAGTCACCTGGCTTTTCCTGAATTTTTGCATGGAAAAATTTGGCATTTATTTTTCTTAATACGAGCTATTGTTGATCTATTCACTTAAAAACTTTTGGATAAAGAATTGACAGAATATCGTGCACTTAGTTTCTTTAAAATGTCAACTTTCTTTCTTGTTAGAAACGTAAATTTTTTCCTTGCCATTATGAAACCACACACAAAACGTCAGTTAAAACTGATTCAAATCTCCCGAAACGCACATGCGTAAGAGTTACAACAATTCATCATCGAAGAAAACTGGCCTTCTCAGAAATATATTCGAACTGAGGAAATGTTACCAAAATCGCCAAAAACTTGTCACAAGTATCGAGGTCAAATACATTGGATGTAGCAAGTACTGAGTACATAATGTAAAATATTTCTTTGTTGCAAGAATCGAGATGTTGCAAGTATCGAGATGTGGAAGAATAGAGTTACCACTGTGTATTAATTTTCACTATAGGCTGATAGGCTTCTTTTTCTTTAACGGCGTTGACACCGCTTACGCGGTTATTGCCAAGTTAACAACAGCCCGCCAATCGTTTCTTTATTTTATTCTCGTTATTTTAGCAATTTGGCGCCAATTTCAGACAACAAGCGCAGCCAGGTACTTCTCCACCTGATCTCTCAAACGGAGTGGAAGTCTTCCTCTTTTTATGCTACCCTCGCCGTGTACTTCGTCGAATACTTTCAGAGTTGGAGTGTTTTCATCCGTACGGATGACATGACCTAGCCAGCACAACCGCTGTCTCTTAATTCTGCACTATGTTAATGTCGTCATATAACTTGTACAGCTCATCGTTCCATCGAATGCGATATTCGCCCTTGCCAATGCGCAAAGGACCATAAATCTTCCGCAAAACCTTCGTTTCAGAAACTCGTAACGTCGACTAATCGGACGTTATTATCGTTCATGTCTTTGTACCATATAGCAGGACGGAAATAATGAGTGAGCTTATGGAGTTTCGTCTTGGTTGGTCGAGAGAGGACTTTATTCTCAGTCCAAAGTATCACCTGTTGGCAAGAATTATTCTGCGTTGGATTTCGAAGCTGTCATTGTTGTTGCTGTTAAAACTAGTTTCAAGATAGACGAAATTATCTACGACTTCGAAGTTATGACTGTCAACAATGACGTGGGATCCAAGACGCAAGTGTGACAACTGTTTGTTTGATGACAGGAGATATTTTATCTTGCCCTCGTTCACTACCAGAGTCATTTGCTTTACTTCTTTGTCCATTCTGGAAAAAGAAGCTGTTGAGGCCAATGGTATCAATATCAGCAGCTGTGCACTCTTATAGAAGATTGTACCCGCTCGATTAAGTTCTGCAGCTCGAATTATGTTCTCCAGCAGCAGATTAAAGAAGTCGCAAGATAGGGAGTCGACTTGTCTGAAACCTTGTTTGGTACGGACAGTTTGGAGAGGTCCTTCCCGATCCTGACGGAGCTTGCGGTGTTGCTCAACGTCCGCTTACACAGCCATTTTAGAAGTGGTATGTTTCGATCCTCTTTTCACGTGTCTTTCCCAAGGTCTAGCGCATGGCCAGCCTTAAAGCCACATTGATAAGGTCAATCAGTTTGTTGACGGTGGGCTTTAGTATTTCATAATGCGCTCGATAGAACCTTATAAGAGATTTTGATGAGGCTTATTCCACGGTAGTTGGTGCAGATCATAGGCTCTACTTTTTTGTGGATTGGGTAGAGCACATTTAAATTCCAATCGTTGGGCATGCTTCGACCATATTCTATAAAGAAGTTGATACATTTTCCTTATCAGTTCTTCGACGCCGTGTTGGAATAGCTCGGACGGGAATTCATTGGCCCTCGCCTCTTTGCTGTTCTTTAGACGGGTAATTGCTATTAGAACTTCTACATGGTCGGGCAATAGAACATCTGCTTTATCGTCATAGATTGGGGAATCGATTTCGACATCTCCTGGCGTTGTGCTTTCACTGCCGCTCAGAAGGATGAAGAAGTGTTCCCTCCATAATTTTAGTATGCTCTTGGTATTGATTACTAGATCACCTCTGTGGTTTCTACGAGAGATGCTTCGGTCTTAAAACCTTCTGTTAGTCGCATTTTTCCATTGAATTTTCGAGCATTACCCCTGTCGGAAAGCTTGTCAAGCTCTTCATACTCACGATTTTCGTCCTCTCTCTTTTTCATTCAGCAAATACGTCTCGCTTCCCTCTTCAACTCTCGGTATCTATCCCATTTCGCACCTGTTGTGGTCGATCGTAACGTTGTGAGGTCGATAGTCTGTTTTCTCTTCGCTGCGATACGGCACTCCCCATCGTATCAGGTGTTTTTTTGCATTCTCCAAAAACCAATGGGTTCGGTTGCAGCTGTACGTAAGGAGTTTGAAATGCCGTCCTACAGTCCCTTATACCGAGTTGTTGACGAGTGCTCTCAGAGAGCAGGAGTGCAAGCCGAGTAGAAAATCGTTCGGCTGTCTGTTGTGATTGCAGCTTCTCGACGTCGAACTTTCCTTGTGTTTGTTGGCGTGCGTTTTTTGCTGCACAGAGGCGGGTGCGAATCTTGGCTGCAACAAGATAGTGGTTTGAGTCGATGTTAGGACCCCGAAGCGAACACACATCCAGAACACTGGAGACGTGTCTTCCGTCTATCAGAACATGATCGATTTGATTGTGGCTGTCTCTCATCCGATGCTTTCGATTAGTTTTCATTGGGGACTTTTTTTACGTGGCGGGTCCCACACCCAGTGCGCAACCCTGTGAAAGAGGTGTTTTGCCTTCTCACATTAGCTCTCCTTCAAACGGTTGTTCTTAGGCTACTCAGAAGATACTTGGTCGAAGACCGGAAGTCGTGAACCAAGTGAATGACAATCAGAGATCTTTCCTCACTTGCGTGAACTTCTACACATAGTTCCATCCTCCGTAGCCCCCATATACCAAATATAAAACTTTCGAACTTCGGGATGACTTTGTACCGCATATACATATATAAAATGTTCGGTTCCACCGAACTTTGCCCTTTCTTTTTTGGTGCTACTAACTTGTAGTCTATTGAAGCTTCTATTTTGGTCGTGTTTAATGTTCTTAGTTTTGACTTTTCTTATTCTACAATTTCTCTTTCATTTGTTGCCACATTGGATATTTTCTTCGTGATGAGAGAAACAGCTCATTTTTTGGTAATGCGGCGGTACATACAGTTGCGAGCTATTGACAAAAATAGTTTTGCTTTAAATTTTGTTTCTTTTATGGTATTGAAGTTGATTGTTATTCTAGTTATATTCTCTGTAGTGTGACGGTCCTGTTATACACAACAATAAGTGCGAAACACTTACCGTTACTTTTTTACAGCTAATTATATTGTGATATCTGTCTTAATGAACAAGCATTAAAATAGTAGTGAACGGTGAGCTGATTGGAAACAGATTATTTTTAATAAAAAATATTTAATTTTATCAATCAAAAAGTAAGTTTCTTGTTATTTTATTAATTATCCAATGAAAAAACTAAAAAATATGACTGTGAATATTTTAGTGGGCCGCGGGAAGCACTGCAGTGAAGAGAAACGAAAATGGATTCAATCTCTCATARACAACGGTAAATCCTACAAGGGAGTGGAAAGAATTGTAGGGTGTTAAGCCACAACGAC